AGCAGCGGGCGGGTCAGGAGAGGTCTGCCACGCCCTATGGATCAGCTCTGGGGCAGGGGCAGAGATCTAGCTCATGCTGAAGTGGCTTTAGCTTCTTAGTGCTGTGCGTTAACCCGCTGTGCCACCAGAGAGGGCTAAGAAAAGGTTTTTAATCTGGTGAGAAGACAAGACAAACCCCCCCCCCCCAATAGAACAGTATTTAAACTCAGCTCCCTGAAATTACATGTTTAATTTGGTGGGCAAATGCATTTTGTAAGAAATTCAAAACAAGCTTTATCACTTCCATCATTTTTCTAAGTGTTTTTTCAATCAAATGTGAAAAAAATAAAGGATTTCATGTTTTAAACAATTTGAGTTGAGATCAGAAAATGAAGTGGAACTAGAGATGCTGTTAAGGAAGGTGAAATTTGGGGATTATGGCATTCCCAAATTCTAATGTTTGATTCATCTTCCTCCTCCCATAGTACCTATAGGGGAGAGTGGACTTCATTCTTCAGGCTTCATGCTTAGTTTACAAAAGTCTGCACTAGTCATCCAGAATTTCTTAATGTTCTTGTCACTTCCCATAGAATCTCAAGGAGACTGTGCACCCACCTTCGCTTTTTATTTTTTTAACTACAGTTAGTGATGAAGTACTGAAGCAGAGAAATTAAAACAACTACTCAGATAGCATCACCTTTGAATAAAAAACAAGATTTGCTGTAATTTACAGTTTCCATAGTTCACCATCTTCATCACCACAACTACTCACTTTCTCCCCCCACTTTCCTCCAGATGTGTCTTAAATACATTATGCATCCACTCACGGAAAGAAAACCTCTGTTAAGCCCTTCTTAAGTGAGCATATTGTGCTAGGGTGCAGGAAAGAGCTCCTGACCGCACATCTTTTTTTTTTTTTTTTGTTTGTTTGTTTGTTTGGCCTCACGTCTTTTAAAACACCACCACCATCTTCCCATGTATCTATTTTGGCACATAAAGAGTATATATCTATTTAGAGTTTCCAAATCCAAATGAACCAAATAGATTATTTTTTTATTAAATACTTCTTTTCAAAGTCACAGAAAAGGTAAAAATGCTTCATTGGACTTTGTATAGCCATAACCTGTGTTGACCAGTCATTAAAATTTTCCCACATTGTTTAAGTGCGCTTGCCTCCCCCACCCCTCCCATGTGTATATTTACTGCAGCGTCTTCAATTAATTTGTAAGTATTATTTACATTTTCTCCCTAAGTTTTTCACACATCCTTAGAATCATGTATTTCCTCCATAATATCACAAAAGTTGAATAATTCTGTACATGTTACACTACCCATTGTTATGTGTCTTCAGTTTTCTTACAAATGCCTTTATAGGCCATATATGGCAAGAATGGATAATCCACAGCCAACATCATACTAAGTGGTGAAAGACAGAAAGCTTGTCTTGTAAGATCTATGGTGTAAGACTGAACGTTCATTCTACCACTGTAGTTATTGGAGTCTTAACTAGAGCAATTAGATGAAAAAGGGGGAAAAAATCAAAATTGGAAAACAAGAAATATCATAATCTCTACTTGCAGATGACATACATAGATACCATAAAGACTCCATTATATAAAACTAATTGAAATAAGTTATTACACTGAAGTGTACTGTAAACAGTACAAGGTGAATTTATGGAAATCATTTGCACTATAAAGCCTTGAAAAGAACAAAAGACCAAAAAATGGAAAGAGATTCCTCTCATGGGTTGGAAGAATTATCATTGTTAAAATGGTCATCTTTCGTAGAGCAATATACAGATTCACTACAGTCCTAATTAAGATTTCAGTGTGGCTTAAGAAACTCAACAGATATACTGAAATTCAAATGGAACTGCAAAGAGACTCCAGTAGCCGAAACAGTCCTGACAAAAACAGGGAAGAGTGGTGGTTTCACACACCCAGGCTTCATGCTGTACTACTGAGCTGTAGTAAGCAGCAAAGTGTGGTACTGCAACAAAAAGACACTCAGACCAATTAAATAGAATTAATATACTAGAAATAGTAACCTTGGAGAAGGGAGAAATGGAAAAACTGGACAGTCAAATGCAGAGAATGAAATCAGAACATCTCACACCTTATATAAACTTAACTCAAATGGATCGAAGATAAGAATGAAAGACCTGAAGTCATAAAATATACACTGGTGAAAACATTCCACCACATTGGCTTTAGTGATGTCTCTGAAAAGGGAAACAAAAGTAAATAACAAATGGGACCACATCAAACTAGAAGCTACTGCACAGCAAAAGAGAATCAGGTTTGTTGTTGATGCGGAGAAAAATGAGCCTTTGTACACTATTGGTGGAAATAAAGACTGGTCCAGTGCCTCTAGAAAACAGTATATTCCTCAAGAGACTAACACTAGTTCCATCACATGGTCCAGCAATCCCTCTCCTAGCTGTCTGCCCAAAGAATGCACACACACTGATTCAGATACATAGGCACTTTTGAGTTCATTGCAGCACTGTGTAATAGCTAATTTGGGGAAAACATAAGTGCCTTAGGATAAAGCTGATCAGCAGGATGGGGACAGGGAGGGTGTATATATATACATGGACTACAGGTCAGCTGTAGGAAAATGATTCTTGCCACTTGTAACAACACAGATATAATTGAAGAGGATAACGACTAAGCAGACTTGAGTCAGGAGGAAAACGACAGTTAATGTAACGACTAAGCAGGCTTGAGTCAGAAGGAAAACGACAAATTACTGAACAGTTTCACTTGCGTGTGCAACATAAACAAGATGATGGTGTTCACAGGACTAAATTGAAAACCTCTAGAAATCTGACAGTGGAATTAGGGGATGGGGAGTTGGAAAGGGGACAGTGGACTCTGGGGGAAGGCCTTATGTAGTCCTGTGTGGAGAACACATCTGAAGAGGTGTGTTCCTATGCTACTAAATCACATACGTTATTTTAAACTAATTTCATCTCAGTTTAAATGAAGATGCCTTTCAATACCTTCTTTCAGATTCAGGACACAATCAGTTTCCATGTTACCTTGATTTTTATGTATTATGAATTCTGTTTAGTTTAAACCAGTGTCTTTTTTCATTTTTTTACAACATTGCCTTTCTTAGGGAAAAGTATGATTTCTTAGTGGACTATTTTGATCTAATTTTACTTTATTTGGTTAAGACATTGATTATATTGAATTGGGAAAAGACACTGTGAAGCTGTATTGTTAAAGTAATTCTAATTAGAAACAGCTAACTGGTCGTGCACAACAAAAATGCTCTTCTAGATTGTACAATTTGCTGTCTCATGGGGGTGCCAGCAGGGTGTCCCATATGGTTCTTTGTGATTCTGAACCTTTTACTTGGAGGAATTTCACATCTGTCTCCTGTTGAGGAATACCAATAGGAACAGTATGCAGGTTCAGATAGCATTCATTTTCTCCTCTTTCAGTTAGAGCCAAGTTGTGGGAGAAAAGAACTTCTATATTTAATCCCTTAGTGGTTGTAAGATTTCTCCTAAAGATTGGAATATAGTAAGCACGAGTGGTCATTAGATGTGATTTAAAAATAGTTGAGATAGCTGCCAAGAAATTGTTAGATAATAGGTGGAAGTACAGATGAATTACTTAGTCATTATGGAATTCCTTAATTGATACCCTAGTGATAATTTTTTTTTTAAAGATAGATTTATTTGTGCATACAGAACTGGGGTACAGGCCAGAGGCTCAGGGGCAGCAAGAGGCTTCGCCAGAGACAGGGTGGGGAGCAGAACAGGCAGATCCATGAAGTACACTGCTGAGGGGAGCAGTGGGCGGGTCAGGAGAGGTCTGCCGCGCCATGTGGTCACCTCCGGGGCAGGCGGGAATCGAACTTATGCGGAAGCAGCTTTAGCTTCTCAGTGCTGTGCTTTAACCCGCTGCGCCACCAGGGAGGGCCAACCCTAGTGATAAATTTAATTACTTACTGCATTTTGGCAATACATACACTGTTTCTTCCTCTTATGGCAACCACATCGTGAGTTTTAGGCATGGATTATTCTCCTAAGATACTTTTGGTATGGTTTAACTTACAACTTTGCTGATTAAAATACTAGTTGACCTCTTAAAGTCACAACTGTGAAAATTATTTGCTGATGTATCACTGTTAATTATTTAGAATATATGATATAGGTGCTTATTGAATGTTTACTTGAATTAAATGCATTTGGGTACTCAGGAGGTTGAAGTTTTTGTCAGAGGATAATGCTTAAAGGTTATTGTTTGCTTATGAACCAGATATTTTTATTACATCTGAAACTACATTCTAATTAAATGTTATTTCCATTTTAGTTGCTGCCAAACAAGGTGAATCTGACCCAGAAAGAAAAGAAACAAGACAGAAAGTAGACGACGACAGAAAACATGAGATAGAAGCTGCTATAGTGCGGATAATGAAATCTAGGAAGAAGATGCAGCACAATGTGCTGGTGGCAGAGGTGAGGATGTTGGAGGCTGGGCTGACAGAGAAAGAGTGAAAGAACACTAGCAGTTTAGATTTAGGAAAGTATAATATTTAACTAACTTAAAATATAATTTTAAAATGAAGAAACAAGTCATGATATTTTTTTATTAAAGGAATGCCGCTTGATAATGAAACAGCAGTATGTTTAAATATGAGCACACTTTTTAAAAATTAATGTTTGCAGTGAAAATAGAAGAATAATATCACTTGATGAATAGAGATAAGTTATGCTTACTGCTGTTAATTTTTTTGTGCAAAACTGCCTTTATTTCTAAAAAGTAATGGTTACTGTAAATTGCTGTAACTTTGGAAGTTAGGAAGCTGAGGAGGGGAAGATGTCTTAAAATGTCATTGAAATGTAAAGAGATGGTCAGGGCTGAATAAAGCATTGATTGAGGATAGAGAGCTAAAGGAAGACAGATGGTAATAGCATTGATGGGACCTTTTGATTGATAATGGGAAGAAAGTTGTCAAAGGTGACTCGGGTTTCTGGCCTGATTTACTGGATAGAGGTTGGTCCTTTTAACCGAAGAGGGACAGAGTGCAACTGTGTTCCACATGTCAGTCTCCTTTTATGTAAGTTGATTATATCAGCGTGACAAGAAAAATATAAGGAGTAATTAAGTAACTTTAAAAATCATGAAAAATCCAAATCAGTACACACTGGAGACCACATTGACATTTGGTGACTGGGTATTTTTTCCCAGACAATTTATGGACTGGGGAAAGTAGGCATTAGATGGCAGTGACTGCAGAAGGAAGTGGAGGTGAAGTAGCCCAGAGAGGGACTTGTCCTTGGGATGTTGTTGTGGGAAAGGAGAGCAGTTCTAGAGGACTAAATACAGGGTCACGGGGTTCAGATTTTTATTTTCTAGTTGGAAAGATACTGAACATGTTTCCTGAATAAGAGGTAATGCTTAAAAATAAACAACAAAATGGAATGAGAGGACAGTTGATGTACGAAAGTCTAGAGAAGGAAAGGCAAGAGGAGTGTGTAGAGTGTGTGGGGTAGCAGCTGTGGTGCGAGGGAGGTTTCTGAACATGACCCTTCCTGGTAGCATCCAAGGGTGGATGCAGGCCTGGATGTGGCCCGGGGTGGGGTGCGCGTGCGTGCACGCACAATGACGGGACTTGAAGAAATTTTGAACTGAAATGACCTCTTGCCCCCACAGTTTAGGAACATGAGTATAGTGAGAAATTGGAAATTGTGTTTGTCAGGAATGATGCTCAGGAACTTGCTGAATTTGCAAACTGTACATTTGTCTTGGGCTCTACCAGAGATGAGCAGTAATTTTTGTCAGTGGCCTGTTGCAGCTTGAAACAGATAACAAACATGTTCCAGTAAGAATTCACAAAAATCAGGCAATGGGCTTGCTGACCTTGGTCTACACAAAAGGTTTAAAAATGTTGATTCTGCTGGGCGAAGAACATTTCGAATGATACAGTACTGGAATGGGTGTTCATGGACTAAAACTAGAGGATCTTTATATTCCCTCCTTTTGGGAAGGAGGTGCTTATCAGAAGAAGTTGTTAATAGTGTCAGAGGAAGGATCAGAAGATTAGAGAGTGCTCAGCTGAATTGAGAACAAGTTTACTGATAGAAGAGTGACAATACTAGAGGATTGATTTGGATGGAGAGGAAAGTGCCTGCGGTTCAGATTTCAGTACATTGTGGCTTTGGAAAATGAACTTAACCAACAGAAATGGCAAAAAAGATGGCACATGAACCAACAGAAATGCCAGAAAAGATAGCACACGGGTCTGTGGGTGCATTGTGAGAACAGGGGTTCTGTGGGAAAGGCGTAGACTGGGGACAGAATGGTTTACATCCTCAGAGTACTGGCTCAGCCTTATTTACTAATGTACATGGAGCTTTTCTTCTCTGGCGTATTTTCCTCATTTGTAAAATGGGATAACCTATTCTGTAGGTTAAAAGTATTAAGCAGTGTATAAAACTGAGAATTTGTAGTGCGGAGTCAGACTTCGGTTGCTGTGATACTGTTTTAGGACTTAATACCTAGAAGCCTGACAGCCGAAGTCGTGTTCTCCCACATGATAACACCTGTTAACTTATGTGCTACCCACAGCAACTCCATAAGGTTATGAGTGACTTTTCCAAATTCTCAGAGCTAGTAAATGGGAGAATTGAAGCTTGAATCCAGGCAGTCCTAGGTTTGTGCCCTTAAACATGTTCTATGTTACCTAAATTCTGTGAATTGTAGCAGAAGTCAGTTGATAATAGCAGCAAAAAGGTTAAAACAATTGGGGGACATATGTCAATGTATTCTAGCTGACCCCAACACTATCTACCAGAGCCTCCATACACATTATGATGTATGGAGGAGGTAAGTTTTAAAAGAGAAGAAAAGGATTTTTATGTGCTGATATACAAATGTTATACTTAAATTTTGGGGGTAGGAATTACCTTTTTTTTTTTTTTTTAACCTTCTCTTTGTTTACTCAGCAGTTGAAGGCTCGATTCTTACCAAGTCCAGTTGTTATTAAGAAACGTATTGAAGGACTTATTGAGAGAGAATATTTGGCACGAACACCTGAGGATCGCAAAGTATACACATATGTAGCATAAAATGCGTTCAGAAATTTGATTTATTCTTGGACTGTACTCTTCGCATGGACTGGGAAGTTCTTTTAAATCATTAAATATTAAGACGACCATCTCTTCTATTAAATTACAGTACATGTTCTAGACCATTCAGATCAAGCCTTTACTCCCTTTGAGAGTTTTCAACATCATTGATTGAGCTTCAGGCTTTACGACGTTTATCCCTGTAGAGACCATCTTTCCAGTTCCTCGGGAAAATGTGAATGTGCCGCGTTTTGTTTTCAGTACTGTATGAAAACAGGAAAAAAATAAAACAAAAATTTAGAAAAATACAGCTCATTAAAATAAAATTGTTGGATTTCATTTCCCCAGGTCTTCAGTGTTGATGTAAATGTTTTTGTAGTGTTGCTTAGCACTTTGCGCATTGTGTAAGTTGGGTAACAAAATGGTAAAAGAAATGACACAATTCCCAGTTATCTTGCTCTGCTTAAGACATTTCTTTAGCTAATCTTGTTTAATTTAAAGGTTTGATAAATATACAAAGACCCAAGCATACATTTTAAGCATGCTTTTTTCTACCACTTGCACTTACTAATCTTCTAGTCTTATGACCAAGAACTTTTGTTTTGGGCTCAGCTACACACCAATTGGTTTTACCCTGTTGTAATTGAGATCTCCCAAATTAGTCTTATGATTGGGCTTTGTTCTGCGTTACGCTAGAGAAAGAAAATATTTTAGTATGTATAAATTGTACAATAATTTTTTGCTGTTGTACTCACTGCTATAGTGAATTGTATAGGGCGGTGTTTTTATTTCATTTATTGTAGACAAATATAAATGAACGTAGTTAATACACATACCCACTAATTCAAGTATGTCAGAGCACAAAGTTGGCAGCTGGTTGTATTTAATTCAGCCCCTTTGAAAAGCACATGTGGTCTATACTTTGTTTATAAATATCTTTGGTTCCCCCTCAAAAATTTTGGTGAAGTTGGGGTACAATCTTCTCTATTGCCAATGCATTCTAAAGATGCAATAAATATGATGACCTTGATATTTTTTAACAAAATCTTAAGTTTTTTGCAGCGGTGTTTGGAAAGTGATGAAGCAATATTTTTCCAATCTGATGATTCTTGGATATTTAGCTCTTGTCCTCCAAAGAGTCATCCTTTCGTGTTTTCAAAGATGTGCTTCATGCGAAGACTCCAGTCGGTTATCCTGTGCTTCCAACTTCAACCAGTGTTTTTTTTACCTGATCGATCTGCCAAGGATTAGTTTGCTTTTTAACTTCAGAGTATTTTTATCTTCAATTATACTTCATTTTGTTTTTTCGTAAGAACGATGTTTCAGATGTGTAATGGGGCAAACCACTACAGATTTCTGTTGGATAGAAAAAAGGAATGTTACTAATAAGTTCAAATAATTGACCCTTTGACTACCAAAACTTGGTACATTTATTAGAATGTGTGTCTCAGAAGATGAGACCTGTTTAAACTTAATGGTCAAGTTACAACAATTCTAATATGGATTAAAAACTCCACATAAATATGTTTCCCCATGCGTCTTGGGTTATAATTTTCCTTTTAGACTTGAAAATATCTCATGTATAATTTTGTCTCCATTTGTGCTTTAGAATTATAAGCCTTATGCTATTAATCCCTACATCTTCCACTTTTACATGATGCAGTTAAGATGCAGATGAAAACGATCATGAACATTGTTCTCAGGAGACTTGTACCAGAGGGCGAGAGATAGTGGATCAGGTGTAACATGAAAAGCTGAAGAATTTCCCTTTTAGATTTCTAACATTATTGGAATTCTTACAATGGCAAGATGTTTTATCTTCAGGAAGACACTGGTATTTCAGGTTCCAGATTTTGTTTTTTAACTGTTCAAATCCCAATTAAATGATATCTGATACCTTGGGAAATAGAACACTCTGACTTAAGTTAATATAAAAGATGTAAAAATTCACTTGAAATCTAAATGAGACATTAAATAAAAATTTAAGTGCTAGTAAAACTTTGAAATCAGTAAAGTTAAATTTTTATGTTATTGTCTCAATGTGGATGTACAAATAAGTCTAGAGTTTAGAAACATGTTCGTTTTGGAGCATACTTTTGGTATGTGTGCTTCTGAGTGTTTATACATATATTGAAACCTTTCTGAATTGCAGTTGAGTTGAATGGTTGAAGAGAAGGATGCATTGAGAAAAAATAGGGTCACCTAACAAGGCTCTGTGATATAGCTCATAAGTATTTTAGTTCATAACATTTTGTTGCTGTAGTTTTTTTTTTCCAAAAAGCCAAAATTTTGGTTCCTAAAGGTTAAAAAAAAAAAATGCATCCTAATCTACCCATTCAATCCTGTTGATGTGAATATTTGGTGACTTGAAGAATTTTAAGAAGGGTGGTGGATACATAGTTTTTCAACCACACAAATGATGTAATATTTGTTCAACCCTTGTTAAATTGTAATTCTCTGCTGTCATTTTCAAATCCAGGTCAGTGTTTTTTCTTTTTGAATTGTCATGTAGTTCTATTATTTAAAGATTGAAAATTCATTGCAATTAGGGAACACACAGCCTCACAAAATAAAATGTGGTTGTGACTGTAAGGATTCTTTATTATGTCAGTGAATTTTAAAAAACGGTGGGGGGAAGGGATGACGTTTGTCTCTTTAAAAGATACTAGATTCACCCACGCAGCATGGTGAACTTAGACACGTGCCGCCCCAGCCCTCCAAGGTACGAAGACACTCCCTGGGCGTCCTTGTCATGCCTGCTCTGGTGATGTTGCACTCTACCCCAGGTTGGGGGATGTTGCACTCCATCCCCAGGTTGGGTGGGGGTGAAGGTGTGGTGCCACCTGGTGACCTTAAGACTGTGCCTGTGTTCTTGGAAGTCCGGTGCGGCAGGTCTGTCTCGGCTGCTCGGTATTGTTTAGTGCCTCTGTTTGGAAAATAATGCTAAGTCCAGATGATGCAGTTTGTAGTTTTAAATATCACTTTGAGTAATGGACTAATTGCCTGACTAGTTGCCGTTTTCTAAGTCCTTGCTGTCTACTGTAATTTGAGGCAATTTTTATGGCTTCATTTTTTAAAAACTGATGTATGGGACTGTTGGACTGTCAACATTGGGAGGAAAGGTAAAGTCCCAAATTGGTAGACCCTGTTAATCTTCTGGTGCTACATAGTAGTGGGTCAGTAAGTATTTTATACTTGATTGATAGGAATGTGAAAACATTTCAGGTCAGCAACATTGTTATAAGCCACTTATGTCCAAAACAGGAGTGAATAGAAATGTTTAATAAAAAGTGACAACATTTGAGTGCTTCATGTCCTGTGCCAGATGCTGTTGGGATGCTATTTGTGTATTTTCACTTCGTGGTCACTTTGGATGAGATGGTATCTGAATTGGTGTGTCCAGGCTTCCTGATGGGATGTGGGTCCATTCAGCAGCTGGACTTAGGCTTGATCTGTGTTCTGCCTCCTAAGCCACACCACAGACGAATGTAATTTTCTGTTCACAAATTCATTACTTCTGCCTCATACACATCAAGAAAAGCTAGTGTGTGTAAGACAGCAAACTAAAGAATGCACATGAAACATCTCAATGTGGAGCTAAAATGTCGAAGTATTTACTAATGTCAGCCTTGGAATGACAGTCAAGGGAAAGTATTGGCTGCTACTCTGCAGTCTGAAAGTTTTAAGTACTTGAGTGGGTTTGAAAAGCATTTTCCTAATTTTGTGCCTTTCCTGTTAAATGGATAGGCTCTAAGAGGAAGGCTAAGAAAGACTGAGAATTTAACCCGATACAGATAAATCAAGACATCGCTCTGGGAGACGACAACTAGAAAGTATTAGAACCCATTAGGAGTAGAAAATGTGTGTTAGTCAAATGGTCTTGGATCCTCAATATTAGGGTTTGAATCCAATGAGCTGAACAAAAGGAGTGAAAAATAACTGCGTATTTTTAGTAACTAGTGAAATTTTAATTGCAGATAGCAAAGTATGGTTCAAATGACAAAACCTCAGGAATTCTTGGCAGTGTGGGAAAGCTGAAACCCTAAGTCTCAAGGTTCTTCTCCAGGGCTCAGCGCAATGTCTGGCATGTGGTGGGTAGGGCAGGCAGCAGATCCCAATGAATGTGCTGAGTGGCCACAGCTTGAAACTAGGTCTGAAAAGAATTGAACTTAAAATTGAAATTTGTACTGCATGATTTGGGAGAATGACTATTCAAAGCAGAAGTTTATAAATGGAAAGCGTTTAATTTTCAGGAAAAAAGTGGACAGTGTTAGACCAAGTGCAAGTTGTGTTGATGCAAGTTACATGCCAGTTTTAAGCCCTCTGGGAAAAAAATCAGGCTTAGTCAGTGGCATTCAGATTCCTGCGAGTGGTAAATGGGGTGCAGAAATGTGGACCTAGATAAATTGTAAAAACTTGTGCTTTTAATGAGATTAATATGGCCCCAGTACCTAGTAGTTTTGGTAGGCTGGACAGAACTCTGTAGGTTGAATTTAGACCCAAAGGTAGGTTTATTTTGGTGAGTATTTTGGTGAAGATTCCTGTCAGTTATTAGAAGTGTTCCTTGGAGAATTTGGTGTGCAACATCCCCCACAAGAGGAAGATTGGTAATACTAACCGTGCACATTGGTGTGTGGTGTATTTGAGTTACTTTGTTTATTGTAAACCTAGAGGACTGATGTCAGCTGTTAATACATGTAGAATGAGCCTTAACTCTCCATACATGTGCTAGTTTCTGTACTGAAGATAACCAACTACAGTTTTTAAGTGTAATTGTAAAAGTGACCAAAAAAAAAAAACAAACCCTAAAGGGCCTGGAATCAAGTAGCGGAGAAGGAGTGCACTTGTTCCCATGAGCTCTGATATTGGCAGCTGATGTGGGCTCCTAAGAAGTCACTCAAGAACCTGGGGTGACTCATTCCTGGATGTGGGGGAGGAGGGGGTGCCCTTCAAACTAGGAGACCCATCACATACCGGGTTCACATTTCCGAAGCTCCTCTCAAGTTTGGCACTTTGGTAATATTTTACCAGTATTGTTAAATTAATAGCGATGCATCTAGATGCACCAAACTTGTCTTGATCTAATTTTACTATAATGCAATTCAGTCTCAAAGAAAGAAAGGGCTGAAATCAAAGTCAAGCCAGAATGCGCTACGACTCTAAAGCCCTCCACAATGACTAGTAAGTGTTCGGTGTTTTAAGATTTGACTGCACATGAGAATTTTCTCAACCAGTGCTGCTTAACAGATCATGATTTAGCAGGCTTGTGTTTCTTTGATGCAGTTATATTTGGGAACCATTAATGTAGATTACAGGTGTTACAGTAAAGCATATAAACTCCAGTTTCACTAATTAGAGAGCATTCATTTGATATGGCAGTCAAGTTGTGAGATTTTCCTTAACATTTCAGAAGCGTTTATTACCCCTCCGCCGGCTAAAGTAAGATGTTGATCAAGTCAAGAGGATGACAAAGTGAGCCAGTTAACAAGCTGTTTGTAGTCACCATCCCAGCATTAATTAAGCCAGTGAGCTGTCATTAGTGGAACCTACTAACTGGGGAGGAGAATCCATCTTAGTGTCCTCACGTCAAAGAGCAGTCAGAGGTCCAAAAATGTTCATTACCTTTTCGCTGAGAGAAAATTGAAACTGAAAATCAAGTGTTCAATGCACAGTGACTCTTACCCCTTTAGAGTGGGTTTAGCCAGCAACCCTGAAGGACCAACTCCAAGGGGAAGACAGGTGCCTGCCCAGTAGATGCGGGGTTTGTTCTGTTTTGTGTCCTGGAAGAATCATTGGCTGGGGAGCAACTGCGAGATGTGGGTGACAAAAATGCCTATGTGGGGCTGCCAGCTTGCTAAGATCAAGGGCACGGGCAAACTGCTAATGCCCAACTTCTAATGCCCAAGCCTGACTTGGGTTTTTTTTTTCTCCTTAGAATGAACTTGCATAGACTCATCCATATCTTCTTATACCAATAATAAGGCGTTAATTTTTCTCTCGAAGACAAAATTGGAGACTCAAAATAGTTGCTCTCCCACTAGGTTGACCCATGGATTCAGACCCTAAGTGTGTGAAGCAACCCACAGGGTCCAGACTCACGCGCCGCACTCCAGGCTGGCCAAGCAGGGCCCCCTTGCCACCTGTATTTTGGCCCTTAAATGTGTAACTTCCCTGTGGCGATTTCTCACAGCTAATTTCTCCTCTGACCCTGACTGTAGTAACTGCTGCTTCAGTCTGGTCGTGAGTGCGATCTGTTCATGTGTAGTCTTCATAACCTCTGCCTCCCCAGAGGACACCCTGAGGGTCCGCTTGGAGGACTGGATGGAGGACTGGTGCTCCTGCTGTACTGGGAGACTAAAGCTTGGGTCTTCCAAAGGAGCAGCCCATGTGTGTTCCCTAGGATAGCTCTTGAGTGACAACTGTCCCTTAGTATGTCCTTAGTAGATGCTAACTGCATTCCAGCCACTAATGGGGGCACTTTTGAGACAATGAGTGGACATCCCACATCCTGTACTGCTAACAGCCCTGCACGTTAACCCAAACTCTTGCATTCGCCTTATTTCATAATGTTCTGATCAACTGAGCATATTGCCCAGAAACTAGATCATTCTACTCTGCCCCTCTCCATTGAGAGAATGTTACTTACTGAAATAGCATTTAGGAGCTTTTGGCTCTCCTTTGAAAGTCCCCTATTTCCCACTTGATTTTTGAAATCAATATACCCCCCCAAAAAAGTAGAACACGTTATATAATTCGTTTAGTAATAAAAGGAGTTTGTCTCATTTCACTACCTTCCCTCACGTTAAAGTGAAGATGCCGCTGTCATTAGTGGACTTGAAAGCTGGGAGGAGGCAGCCGGGTGCACTCACAAGTGGGGCAGCAAAGACAAGGTGGGAGGCGGAGTCAGGGATTGAGACATTGAAACCGAACGTTTTCGATGCACAGTCCTTTAATTCCTGCAGTTGAGTTCAGGTGTTAACTAACTGAACAATAAGATAAACACCACTTTCATTGTGCGCTAAGGTTTTTAATGAGAGACCAACATTTTGACAATTGACAGTTACCAAAAAATTAAGATTCTTTTAGATCTAGCTTATTGTTGTAAATTCTTCTTTTAATTCCTTTTCCCAGAAGATACTAAACGATTTTGTTAAAATAAAGGTAAAATTTTGGAGGAACTATACAGGCCAGAGTTGCAGGGGCGGTGAGAGGCTTCACCAGAGACAGCGGGGAGCACAACTGGCTGGTTGAAAAAGTACACTGCTGAGGGGAGCAGCA